CTCGCCATCCTGGACGCGCTGGCCAGCAGCTGCAGCGGTGTGAGCGACCTAGGTGAGGGGGCGAGCCGAGGGAGGGGCCCGGGAGGGTGGGGGGTGGGGGGGGGTGGTAGGCGCAGAGGCTGGCCAGCAAGCGCAGGCGCGGGCTACCAAGCTGCAGGCGGCGCCTGGCGCCCCGTACGCCTCCTCGCACCTCCCTCCCCGCACCCTCGCCCCACCCTGCTTTGCAGCCTGCTTTGCTCCGCACATGCCGTTTCTTCTGCTTTTTCCCTCCTGGATTCCTTCCCCTCCCTCCCAGCTGTTCCCGCTCCCTCCCAACTCGACCCTTCCCTCCGCTCCCTCCCGAGCTCCTTCCGCTGCCCCTCAACCCTGCAGATTCCGGCGGTACCGCGCCGCTCTCCGACCCTCCCGCCTTCCTGGACATCTGGAGCCCGCTGGCCTGCGGCGCCTACCCGCCCCTGGATGCCATGCTCGGCGGCGGCGGCGGCGGCGGCCCCGCTGAGGCCGCCCGCGTGGAGAAGTACCTCAAGGGGCGCCTTGCGGCGGCCGCCGAGCACTTCAACCGCGACCAGAAGAAGGGCTTCCAGTACCTGCAGTCGCTGCGGCTGCTGCCCCCGCAGCTGGACCCGCCCACCGTGGCCCGCTTCCTGCGCTGCTGCCCGGGCCTGGGCAAGGCGAGCATCGGGGAGATACTGGGGGAGCGGGATGCTTTCTACGAGGAAGTGCGGCAGGCGTTCATGGAGACGTTTGACTTTGTGGGTGAGGTGGCGCGCCGGTGGGAGTCGCTCCATGGCTCGCGGCGCCCGCCCGGCTCCCCGTCCCAGCAGGGTGCCGTGCACTGGAGTGGACCGCCGCCGCGCTCGGCAGCCTGCCCGTGGTACCTGCGGGCTGGCGGGGGTCGACGGTGTGTGTGTGTGTGTGTGTGTGCGCAGGCATGGACTTTGACCTGGCCCTGCGCATGTTCATGGACAGCTTCCGGCCGCCGGGGGAGGGCCAGAAGATCGACCGCATCATGCAGGTGGGTGTGGGCTGGGAGCCGGGCAGGAACGCACCAGAAGGGGGTGGCGTAGGAGCCGGGCAGGCACGCACCACACGCTGGGCCGGGCGCTGTGGCTGGCTGCGTGAGGGGGTGGAAGGACCGCGCCGCCTGCAGCCCCCGGCACCAGCCAGCAGGCCGCCGCGCAGGCCGCCGGTGCCCGCTCGCGTCCCTCCGCCCTCGGCACCACCCCACCCCGTGCGCCCGCGCCACATGCTGCCGCACCGCCGCCGC